TTTGTTCAGGGGAGACCGTGATGTATTGCTTGTGCGGTTTCGTCGGCTTCTGGGCTTCCCCAGGAGAAGGAACGGCTCACTCCCCAGTGCTGTCATTGCCACTGGGCCGCCACTGTCCTGAATCTCTCAGCATCACTGATGCCGTGGCAGCCCCTGGCTCTGTGTGCAGAGGAACTTATGTTAGAGCTACAGGATTGTACCAAGATTCTTTAACAAACCAGGAGGCACAATTGTGGTGCCGGTTTCTTTATTTTGGGCGACCAAGGAAGGGCCCCCAGGAGCTGAAAAAAGGGGAGTGATGTCAGGTGAGCACTTAGGGAAGAGGGACGGCCCCTCAAGACTGCTGGATGACCCCCAGGAGCTCCTGAGAAGCAGATGTTTCGGGGGGCCTCATTACATCCGCGGAGCCTGGGGACCTGTGGTCCTGGGGCTGAAACCAGCACCTGCGCGTCCCCAGAGGCTTGCTCTGTCGTCCACTGGTCCTTCCTCACGGCAGGGCGAGCGTGGGAAGCTGCGGTTCCCGCAGGACAGCTTGCCATGCTTCAAGATGCTCAGGAACAAAGGATGGTGGCGTTGGCGCAGGCCACGGTGGAGTGGTCTTGGTTGTATAGCTCTAGCAGAACTTGGTACTCTCCCTGAAGGGATACGGGGAAAGCAGGAGGTGTGTGAGCCCAGAACCATCACCTTTCAGCAAGGGGTTGCGGAGCCCTTCTACGTGCAGCCTCTGCTCTACGCACCGGGGATAAAGTCGAACCACACAGACCGTCCCCACCCGCTGTGGCTCCCGGGCTGGCTGGGAGAGACAGGTGGTGTCCATGATGAATGGCTAAGCCTGAGGAGTTTCGTGTCCCCGATGGAGCTCCCACGGGGGTGCTGGGCTGGGCTGGCGTGTGCTGGTTTGCAGCTTTAGGGAGGATGGTGGTCGAGGCAGGTCCCCTGAGGAGGTGACGTTGGGGTGAGGACATGAAGGTGGTATGGAAGCACGCCATGCCGACTGCGGAAAGTGAGGGCCCGATGGGCTCGGGGGCAGAGGCCCACAGGAGGAGAGGGGAAGAGGCTGGCGATGGCTTCCACCTGAGGCGTGGCCTGTCCCGACGTGCCTGTCCGCGGGGTCTCTCTGGCTGCCGTGGGGAGAAAAGCCAGGGATGCGGGTAGGAAGCAGTAGGACCGGGTAGCAGGTGGCGAAGGTTTGGAGCAGGTGGTGGAGATGGGGAGAGGGGCGGGATTCTGGATGGATTCGGAGAGAAGAGCCGATAGGATTGGCTGAGGAAACCCACGTGGGTGGGAAAGAGAGGGGTCAGGGGTGACCCCGAGGACTCTGGCCTGAGCAACAGGAGGGATAAAGTGTTGTTTCCTGAGAAGAGGGAGGCAGCTGGGGGGGGGGGCAAAATCCAACGGCATGAAACCCAAACGCTCCGCTAGAGAAAGTATTTCTGCCTTTTAGGGTTCCTTTCTGGCGACAGCGCACTGCAGAGGACCCCCTCCGTGGTCAGGGAATGCCAGCCAGGCCGTGTGGAGCTGCAGAAGGAACTCAGGCCTGAGCCACGTGTGCCGTGCTCGTGGCTGAAGCTCCACCCGGCCCTGCAAGCCACGTGGTAGGGCCAACCTGCAGACTCTCTGTCACCCGAGGAAGGGAAGACATTTAATCTATATAGGCCGGAGGGAAGGAACAGATCAGACCACCGGGTAGATGTTGCATGAAAGGTCTCGGGCTACGAGAGAGGCGCTTTCTAGCAATTAGCAGAGGCCCAGGAGTGAGTGGGTTCCCCAGCACTGATGGTGTCTCAGGCGTGAGGGCTGCTGAGGGTGTCTTCCGGCACCCTTCACCTTGAAGATTCTCTGACGGTCTGGGCTCCCTGAGTCTGCTCAGATATCAGCAGCTGTGATTTCAGAAGCAGTGTTAGGAGTTTACATCAGAGTGTAAAAGTTAGAGAATTAGTTCTGAGTAAAGACCAGCTCACGTTTGCGTCTGATGGTGTTTCGTCATCGCCATCATTGTTATCACCGTCAGCTACTTTTAACTGTCCCTGTGCACTTAAGTACACACCACACAAAGTTATTGAAAGCCAACTGAATTTTCCCCATCGCTTTCTAAGCCTAGTGAAAGAAGTAGAATTTGAATGAAGGCGTTCCAGCTTACGAATTACAAGACATACATACTCTGCTTTAAGGGGCGAGAGTATTTAGGCAACAGGGCCCACCTGTGGGCAGGAGGAAAGGATGATGCAGAGAGAGCAGGGGTCTTTCTGCTGTTTGAAGAGCGCTGGATTTGTCAGGTAGGAGTCTGTAGTTGCACCCTTTGCACTTACACAGTTCAGGCCGTACCTGCCAGTTGGCATCCAAGTTGGAAGCCCAAAGGGCCTCTAAATTCTAAGTCAGAAAGCGGCAGCCATAGACAGATGCCCACTGCAGGCAGCAGTTCCATCGGGGCCAAGGGGCTGGTTGTGTCAAAAAGAAAATTATACCAAGACACTGAAGACTGACTGCTGAGTGGAAAAGTTTTCGGCCAAGCGGGAGTAGAATTAGCACAAAGCCCATCTCTGGGGGATTTGGCGGGAAGAGGCGGGATCTGGGGCAGGTCTTTTAAAACCAAACGTCTTCACACCATTTCTGTCCCATATTAGGAAGCAAAGTCTCTGAGCCTTGCAGGCTGGCTGTCAGCCAGGGGCGCCGGGCTGGTCTTGGGCCAGCGTGGGAGCTCAAGTTGGGGATTAAGGCCTCCAGCTGCCTCTGCTGCATACGTGACAGATCACATGTGTCCACTCTGCTTCTGTCCCCTGTCAGGCCTGGCTGGGGCGGGGTCAGGGCTGGCCGGGTTTCTGCTCCCCAGGCCCAGGCCCCAGAAGGGGAAGAGGTAGGAGGGCTGGGCAGAGGGCATCTGTGGATGCTTGAACAAGGAGGCCAGGGGCCAGGTGACCTGGCCTTGTCTCAGTCTCACGTCGGGCAATGCCCCCGAGGAGTACCGTTTGTTGTTGAGGGACGCAGGTAATGCGCTCACTCACGCATCCCAGGTGGTTGCAATAAAGCTTTTTACATCTCTGCTACCTTTTCTTTCAAAGTGATCCTGTGACTTTAAGTTCTCTCGCCTCTGTTTCACAGCAATTGCTAAGAGTAACCGTTTTTTTTTAAAGTTAATAATGCAAGACTAAAGTTAATTGTTTGCAAATTTTAAGTCCATCTCCAGTGGAGGTGTGGGGAGGGTCCAAAGGAAAATGGAGGAAGAAAAAGAATTCAAATGGCAAAGATTTAACGCAAAAAACTACGTGAGAGAAATTGTCTCACATCCTAGACGGGAAGAGAGTTTGCGCAACTGTCATATTATGCTGAAAGGCCTGAGGAGAAAACTCTGGAAGGCTGGACGCTTCCCAACTGCCAGAGGAGAACTAGTGAAAGTCCAGCATAGTCTGGAGACTTGATGGCTTGAGACTGAGGAACCCAGAGGCTGGGACAGAAAGGAGACATACAGGGAAATGAAACGAGTTCAAGAGATTCTTTATGGAGAAGGAGGTTCTTTTCTAGAGTCGTATGAGGTTTCGGAAGATGCAAAGGATGAAGTTGAAGACCAAAAAATGAAAATGATTACATTTTTGTGATTCTTTTGATGTGTTTCTGAAGGATGCTCTCAGGGGTAGTGTGTTGCGAATGGATCGCTATGTCAGAGCTGCTGGAGTGCAGCTGTTTCATAAAGCCACAGTATATACTGAATGAAAAGGAATTAGAGGAAAAGTCTACTCGTAGCTGTGAACCTCAGTAGTGAATGTGCAGGACGCGGTCATTTTATTTACTGGGTGGTAGCTCGTGAATCCTGTGCGAGAACAGTAACTGGGGAGCTTTATGCTTTCCGGGCTGTGTGTTTCTTACTTTCTCTGAACGAACAGCCCGTCTGTGGCTGCCGCCCTTGCCTCACAGCTCTAGCCGTGTGGAGGCTCCCCAGACAAGGCCAACCCGCAGGACAGGGCCCCAGGATCCCTCCCCACGGGAGCTGTCTACACAGGGGCTGCCCCACAGGACAAAAGTGTTAAATACCAAAATGCCGAAACCTGTGCGTCAAGCATTAGTAAGTGCCCACGACGAGGCAGCCGCTTCACGGAGAAAGGGCTTTCTTCGTGACGGGCCAACAAAAGCTTTAAGTTTTTAGTTTAATTCGATCCTCCACCTCCTCTGCGTCTCCTTCTTTAAGAAACTGCTAGATACAGTAATTAAGGAACAAAACAAAACAGAAAACCAAGACCTTACCTCAGGAATTTCAAATCCAGGATTATAGACAGGGCCGGCATAAGAAATCTGCTCTGGAGAAACAGACAAAACACACATAAGGTCATTCAATCATTGAAAACAAGAACGATTTGCTCTATTATCTGTGATTGCTGTGCTCTGGGGATCCATTGATGAAGACAAATGTCTCTGTGCAAACATTGTTTATATGCTAATGAGGAGACTGACGGTACATAAATCACTAAATGAGATAGCATCCAGACTGTAAAAAGCGCGAGAAGGAGACACACAGGTCATGGGAGGGAGGCAGATGGAGGGACGGTTAGGAGGCCAGGCTGGCCCTGGGATGCTCAAGGTTACATCCTAAGACAACTTCTGACAACTGATTGACCTTAGACAGTTCTGATCTCTTTGGGCTCAGTTTCCTCGTTTTTAAGATGGGTATAATAATGACAATAACAGAGCTGAGAGGAATGAGGAGAGTTAATCAACATAAAGCCCTGATAACAATGTCTGGAAAGCCCTCAATAAATATTTACTAAAGTTACAAACTGGGAGATGCCATGTTTTGAGAAGGTGGCTGGTCCGGGAAGACATCGCTAAGGAGACGATGTTGCATGATACGATCTCCCTGAGGGAGGAGAGTGAGGCAATTATTATTATTATTATTGAAAACTTTTATTTGATATTGGAGTACAGTTGAGTAACAACATTGTGTGTTAGCTTCAGGTGTACAGCAAAGCGATTCAGTTACACATATACACGTGTCTCTTCTTTTTCAAATTCTTTTCCCGTTTAGGTTATTACAGAATATTGAGCTGAGTTCCCTGTTCTGTACAGTAGCTCCTTGTTGGTGGTTATCTATTTTAAATACAGCAGTTATTTAAAGAGCTGGATGAAGAGCACCGCAGCGCCGCGGAATAGGGACAAAGGCCCTGATGTGGAAAAGAGTTTGAGAATGTGGAAGGATGGAAGGCAGATGGATTTACCAAAGCAGAGTGAACGCAGGGGTCCATGCTGGGAAGAGATTGGAAAGACTGAGGGGAGGCAGATGTTCCAGGACCTTGAGGGCGCAGTGAGGAGCCAGGTGGCAAAAAGTCAAGTGAAGATACCTAATCTATGCTTGGAAGAGATCATTCTGCTGTGTGGAGAGGCCTAGAGTGGAGGCTGTTTAGTGGCCGAGGAGAGCGATGGGTTGGTGAAGCATGGTGGTAGGGGGGAGATGGAGAAAAACTAATGGAATCAGGATGGTATCGGGAGGGTTTGGGACTGAGCATCTGGGTAGATGGGGTACCATTCACTGAGATGGGGGAGGCTCGAGAAGAAGGAGTGTGTGTGTGTGTGTGTGTGTGTGTGTGTGTTAACTAAAGAGTTAGTTAGTGTGTTAACTAACTCCTATTTCTGGGAGGTGGTTATTAAGGGTCCTTGAAAGCAGTTGGTCACATGACTTTGGAATATGGGGGAAGAGGTCAGGGATAGAGCCAGGACCTACTGGAGGCAGGATGAGAATGAGGCCTCCCCTAAGAAGACAGACTTGACAGGCAGGGAAGGGGGAAGGGCCAGGACCACTCCTGGGTCCCTCCAGCATTCAGGAGTTAGGGAGAAGAGGGGAGGACAGCCAAGGAGACTAAGAAGGAATGGCCATGGAGTGCAGGGTAACCAGGGAGTGGAGGGGGCAGAGAAGCCAGGAGATGGATGGTTTTCAAAAAGGAGGGTACAGTCAACCATGTTGAATGCAGCTGAGACTTTACGTAAGATAAGGACGGGCATGTGTGGTGGACTTGGCAACATGGAGGTCATTTGGTGACCCTGACAGAAACACTGGAGAAGTGAGAACAAACGCCCAAATGGGGTGAGTTGAAGACCAATACGGAGGTGAGAGAAGCAGAAAAAATGAATGAAAACTGGAGGAGGGTGTGGGTTAAGAAGGTTGTTTCTCTAAGGTGGAGACACTGTACCATATTTGTCATTTGAAGTTAATGATCTTGAGAGAGATTGAAGACGCAGAAGAGAGGAAATATTGGAAAGGATGAGTGTTTCAGAAGGCGGGAGGGGAGGGATTTGCCCCTGAGAGGAGCACAAGGGTTGTTCCCATGTTTATAGGAGAGAAAACAGAGCAGAACAGGTTCAGACATAGGCAGATCTGTAGATTGGCCAGTGGACCAGTGGCAGGCTCCTGTCTGATTACTTCTGTTTCTTAGTGAAGGTCATGGGCAAAGAGGTGGGGGAATGTGGACGGTGCGGAAGAAAGTTACTTGAAAAACGACAGGATTGCTAGGCAGTGTTGCATTTGTTTGTTTGTTTGTTGTTTTTTGGGTTTTGTTTTGAGATTTGTGGCATAAATTTCAAGAGACTGCAGTCAGCCCAGATGCGTATTTTCTCAGCAACATTCAGTAGCTCTGATCAAGGGTAGAGGGGTTAGACGGCTGAGTTGGGGTCCTGCTGGACAAATGTAAGGAGAGGAAGGCAAGGCTGTTGGGAAGAGATGCAGGGAAGTTGATGATAACAGACCACGGAATCTGAGGAGGGTACGGGAGACGATGAAGGCGGGAGGGGTTGATCGATAGTAAAATCTGCGGTGGAGTCGGCTGAATGGAGTTTCCATCACTGCGATCCACGACCTAGAGTACCTGAGCTGAAGGATGTGGTGAAGCCACGGGGAGGACGGCTTGACGGCGAGATTTCAGAAATGGCGCCCTTGCTGCAGGGACCGCGTGCGTGCAGGGCTCACGTGGGAGAGAGTGCTGAGGCGGAAGGGGGGCTTGGGTGTTGGAGGTGAGGGGGTCCAGGGGCTGAGACATCGTGGTGCCGGGTGGGTTCGTGTCAGTGTTGAATACTGAAACCTCAGACGGTGGCCGTCTCCTCCGTGATCCCCCAGCACCGTGCACTTAGCATACGGCGAGCAGAGTGGCACAGACTCTGGGGCCAGACTGTCCGGGCTGGGCTTGAATCTTGACTCTTTTTCTTGCCAGGTAGACGGATTATGTAACATCTCTGTGCCTCAGTTTCCTTACCAGGAAATGGGGTGGTAATAATACCCACCCCATGTGTTGTGCACATTTTGCACACGTAAGACTCTTGCAACAGAGTTCGAAGAGGGACGGGCGCATGGTAAACACTCAACTAGGACTTGCCTAGTTCATCCGCCAACCCACACTACTGGCGTCCATTTAAAAGAGGCCAGGTGCTATGCTAGGTGCTGGTGCCACAGTAGACAAGAATGTTATGTGAACCACCTGAATCACTGAGCACCCGGAACTCTACTCAATTGTTTACAGGGCTGTTTCCTTCTCCGGTCAGGACCTCTGTGTCTCCTGGTTTACACAGCTCCCTGTACACTGCACAGAGCCCAACACACGGCTGGGGTACAATATATGGTTAATGAATGAGGCCATCAAATGAGCAGACCCAGAGCCAGGATGCGGTTTGCCAACCAACTTCATTCTTGCTCACGCTATTGTAATCCTCCTTCTGCTGGAAGGGTCCAGACCTGGCACGTGCTGACAGAGAAGACAGGATTAGGGAAGGAGCCACTCAGAGCAGCCAATGCGGTGATGAGGGTGGAGGGATGGTTGGGGAGGAGGCAGGAGAACAAACTCTTACCGGTTTATTGATGGCGTTGGGTGCCGGGCTCCTTAATGGCACGGTGATTTCCTACCTCGCCCAGCACCTGGTGCTTAACGGCTGCTCAGTTAGTATTTGGAGACAGACCAAGCTCTCCCCAGTTAAGGGGCAGGGGCAGGGGCAGGGGCAGCGTGGCTAGCAGCTGCCCACATGGAACCATGTCAGGGGCCTGAGGGCAACCCGAGACCTGAACTTCTACCACAAGACCTGTGCTTAGCATAGCCTTTGGCTTCTGTTCAATGCCCATGTCCTACCCTTCCTTCCCACGGTCACTTCCTGGTACCTTGCAGGGATGACACGCAAACCTGGTGGGGGGCAAGACATCCCTATTTCATTGCTCGAAATGTACTGCTCCATCCGTTGTTAAAGGGAAACATATTTGCTTGTGGATATAAGCAAGAGGCTTATTGGAAACTGCTGATCTGTACCATGTGGTATTAGAAATAGAAATGCTGAGGTCCTGAATTATATCCTCAGGAATCTTCCAGTGCGACTGGGGAAGAGACAATGACTAGCTATAGAGTTAACTGTGTGAGGGGTGAGCAGAGGGTGTGGGCGGTGAACCTAAGAGAGCAGAGAGCTCAGCGGGGCTGCCGGGTTTCATCCGTAGGGCTGGAGGGTCTACAGCCCCAGGGCATACCGTCCACGTTAGGATCCATGCTGCCCCTGGGGTTGTGCGGCACAGGGGCCCAGCTGCCAGTACGTGGTTTCTTTTTAGGACGTGATCTATTATCTCTTCCCTAGTGTACACTCTGACCCGAGTCAGGACGATCTGAGCAGAGGATCGAAGAGACTGGGGACCCATCTATTCTGGCAAGAGATGCTTTGCTTCATTTCAGTCTAGAGCTGTCCACTTGCAGCCTTCTCACTGATTCTGTGACTCCTAGGTAGCCTTCCAAGAAAATCCCTTTGCCTTTGTTGGCTGGACTAGGTTTTTGCTGCCTGCAGCTCAGGGACCGTGGTTGCTAGGGGCAGGAACCAGTTAAAATCCCTCATGCTGGCCCTTGGAGAATGGGACACAGCCGACTCAGGGGCAGGGTCCCAGGACGGGAGTGAGTGTGTCCATCCATGTCAGGTCTGGTTGGATTCCCTCGGACACGTCTTGTACCCACTTCATTCTTCTCTTTAGTGTTCTGAGGTGACACAGTGCCAACTGCTTGACCCTGGAGGCTGATAGACGGGTTCAGGGCCCAGCTTTCCTACTCACTAAGTGTTGACGGGTGATTTGCTTTTAAGATGCGACTCACCTTCTGCACTTGCAAAGTAGAAATAGGAACACCTCACCTGCAAGGCACTGAGAGGACTCGGAACTTGTGTGTCAGCTCACGGAGAAGACTGGGGTGCCCAGTAAGGGTAGAGACAGCAGTTGTTCGTTGTACAATTATTCACTGGATGTGAAGGAGAGTGAGGTGTGACGGCTTGCGTAGGGGATGCTGAGAAACACACCGAGGCTGGGTTTGGGAACCTTCTTCCTGAGCCCATGTGCACAACTGCTAAGTTCTGCTGGTATCTTTTTTGTTTTTTTTTAAACTTCTGTTTTAAAAAATGTATGAGTGCTGTCCTTGGAAGAACACCAGTCGAATGATAACTAGCATTTTATTTTGCTCATTTAATGCTCTAAGATTTGCTCATTTGTGCTTCGCTATTAAGGTCCTTTACTGGGATGAAAGAATGTCATGAACTAGATCCTCTTCACTTTACAGTTTCAACTGGAGCTTTTCTGGGGACCCACGAAGTTCCTGAGAGTTGCTGCAAGTAACTCATGAAACTATCTTTTTTTTTTTTTAACCGGATGAAACAACACCTTCCTTTTTCAGATCATCTCTGATTCGGAGATTCCTTTAATTAACATCCTCACACTCCAATACGATAAAAAGAGCCCCACTATGTCTGTACCCACTTCTTCCTTTCCTTCTTTAGGAATCTTGATCAGTTTTTTTTTTTTTTCTTTTTTTTGCGGTACGCGGGCCTCTCACTGCTGTGGCCTCTCCCATTGTGGAGCACAGGCTCCGGACGCGCAGGCTCAGCGGCCATGGCTCACGGGCCCAGCCGCTCCGCGGCACGTGGGATCCTCCCGGACCGGGGCACGAACCCGTGTCCCCTGCATCGGCAGGCGAACTCTCAACCACTGCGCCACCAGGGAAGCCCTTGATCAGTTTTTAATTGCAGTGAGTTAAAGAACTTCACCCTTCTGCCTCTGAATACTTGAAGTCATTTCTGCCGGTCAGCTTTTCCGGGGACCCAGGTCTTTGTGTGATTGGCACACAGTGTTTTTTTAGAGAGGAAATGGATTTTAAAATGTGGAAATTAAAGGTCCCAAAGAGTGTGGATCAGACTGATATGAGGCTGGGAGCTGCTCAGCAACCGGGGCAGATCCTGGCCTGGAAGGAAGTGCTTGTTGATTGTGTGGATTTCGTTAGATGGAGTCTCACCATTTCCCAGCCCTTGCTATTATCTTACGGGAATTCCCTGCGGTCTTTCAAACTTATTACAAAATGTCATCAATATTTAAGCATCATTAAGGTTCTTGACAGTGTAAAAATACTTCGAGTTACAATTTATCAACAATAGGCCAATTGTATATTCAGATCAAAGACTTTTTTACATGGATCCTTTATTCATTTACTCCCATTTGACCCCCAGGGACTGGGGGGCAGCGTTGAGCTAGGAAGACACAGCCCACGTCCTGCCGTCCAGTGAGTGGGCGGCGTCATGGGGTCCAGGAAGCGTGAACAAGGGCTGCTGTGGGCAGTGGTCCCAGGGTGAAGAGGGAGGTTCCAGGCGGACCAAGAGCCTCATCTCTGGAGTGAGAGGGAGTGAGCGCTTTACTCTGAGTAAACTCTACACTTGTCGTTCCTCTCTGCCTTTGGGCATTTCCTTAAAGGCACCAGATGCAGCCCCTTGTGAACCACATCCTCAGCTCCCGAGCTCTGACCGGCCCTGCTTCCTTCGGTCTCCGACCCCAGAGGGTGTGTCAGCATCTCTGGTCCCACCGGGCAGTGCTGAGGTAGTTGCTGGGTAGGGCCCTCATTTAAATTAATAAAGAACCTGCCTGGGGTGGGGACACAGAGGAGCGTTCACTGCCTCTGGGGTGGATGCGGCTGTAGATTGAACCCCTGTGCGGCCCCAAAGCCTTGAGGTTCTATCAAGGTTTCAGTGGATTCCGGGCAGGGGTGGGCAGGTAGCCCCAGGCTAAGTCCAGGCCCAGATCTGATTTTTTTATTATATATTTTTGGTGTGTCCTGATTGGTCAGCTTCTTTGTCTCCTGGGCCATGCAGCCTGTTACCCTCTAGAGCCTCGGCAGGTCCCCCCTGAGGGGAGGTCAGAGGAGGACTTCCGTGCTGTGAGCATGCCTGCACCATCTCAAGAGCGATCCTGCAGCTACACCGGTGCAGTAGAGCAGACGGGGCCACAGGGGATGTGAGTGGGAGCGGAGACTCCCAGTGTCCCGGGCCACGTCCCTTAGCCCAGGTGGCAGCCACCACGCTCTCCGACATCCTCCCAGGTCAAGGGCTTCCCACTTTCCTGCGGCTCAGCAGCCCATGGAGGGCGACCGGGCGGTGCAGGACCGTGTCCCCCGGAGGACGCCCTCAACCAGGGAGGATTGGAATCCAGGGATAAATGCCCGCAGCCTTCTGACCTTCAGAGGGATGATTCTGAGACACACATCTCGGTTCCCCAAGGGTCCAGTGGGCCGACCCTACTCCACGCTGGTAATCAGGTCCCTGACACATCGCTCCCTGGCTTTTCCTCCTGCCCCGAGTCCGTCTCACTCCCCTCTCACCCTGCTTCCTGACATCACTATCCAATAAACTACCCCCCGAGTCCTTGTCTCTGGCTTTGCTGTGGGCGGGGAGGGACCTCAAACTGAGACGCTTCCTGGCAGAAGGTACACTTTTCCCAGTTTGTATGAAGGCCATGTAGGAGCTAGAGGTGGTCCTGGAAACCTGGCTGCCAGTATATTTGGACCTGTTTCTGGTGATGGAGCCACGCAGCCTAGAATGTAAATCTGAAGCCCCTGGAACCTGTTCTCTGACTTTAGCCCCAAAGAACAGGAAGGAGGATGGATGCCCTGGATCGTCCCTGTGACGGCTCCAGCATCACCCTTCCGGAGAGCATAGGGCGAAGAGAGAGGTGACGACCGCAGCTGTGCCCGGAAGAGGGTGAGCTGGATGTGGGTGCGGCTGGGAGGGCGCCAGCAAGTCTGAGGGAAGAGGGAGCAGAGAAAGGAGGGGAGAGGCGCATGGCCAGCCTCGCGGGCTTTTTCCCCTTCATTCAGCTGGATGGAGTTGTATTGTCACTGAGTGGTCCGCCCAGTGGTGTAGCCTGTAATATATAAAGTAAACTTTAAAAACCTGGAGTTGAGAGCTTTGGGATTCCTTGGCATGTCAGATGACCCTTTCGTTGGGAGGATCATTTCTGCTGCTACTGAGGGCTCAGTGGTTAGAACATGATCAGTTTCATCCCCAGCATATCACGAGATGTCCCGCCAGTTGTTGGCCCCTTTGGCTGCAATGGAGGGTCAGCCTGTTCCAGGAATCGTAGCTTGTCCTTGTCAGAATCACAGTGGTACTTTGGAGCTCGTGACTATCTAATCAGAGTTTGGGCTTCTACACAAGTTACCTTAGTTTTGCCCATGCTGACTACTTTGATTTCTTTCCCTGTCCATTCAAACAGGCTTGTGAGATCTTCTGTATGACCTTTTTTTTTTTTTGCGGTACGCAGGCCTCTCACTGCTGTGGCCTCTCCCATTGCGGAGCACAGGCTCTGGACACGCAGGCTCAGCGGCCATGGCTCACGGGCCCAGCCGCTCTGCGGCATGTGGGATCCTCCCGGCCCGGGGCACGAACCCGTGTCCCCTGCATCGGCAGGCGG